CAAACTCTCTGCTGCCTATTTGTCAACCATGCCTCTATCCAGGAAAAAATTTCTCCTCCTATTCCATGTGCTTTAATTTTCCTCAATAGTCTTGATGTGGGACCCTGTCAAAAGCCTTACTGAAGTCCATATACACAATATCATATTCATTACCATGATCTACCTCCTCAAATACCTTAGTGAAAAAAATTAATAAATTCGTAAGGCATGAACGCCCCTTTGTAAAACCATGCTGAGATTCGTTGATTAATTTATGCTTTTCAAGGTGGCTACGAACTGCCACGAACTGCCGTATTACACCCTGGGTATGACTTCCAGCAGGACTGATTATACGGTGCCCGTGGCCTGTATGGTGGCCCATGGCCTGTACGGTGCCCGTGGCCTGTATGGTGGCCCATGGCCTGTACGGTGCCCCGTGGCCTGTACGGTGCCCCATGGCCTGTATGGTGCTCCGTGGCCTGTACGGTGCCCCATGGCCTGTACGGTGCCCCATGGCCTGTACGGTGCCCCGTGGCCTGTACGGTGCCCCGTGGCCTGTACGGTGCCCCGTGGCCTGTACGGTGCTCCGTGGCCTGTACGGTGCCCCATGGCCTGTACGGTGCTCCGTGGCCTGTACGGTGCCCCATGGCCTGTACGGTGCCCCATGGCCTGTACGGTGCCCCGTGGCCTGTACGGTGCCCCGTGGCCTGTACGGTGCCCCCGTGGCCTGTACGGTGCCCCGTGGCCTGTACGGTGCCCCGTGGCCTGTACGGTGCTCCGTGGCCTGTACGGTGCCACCATACAGGCCACGGGGCACCGTACAGGCCATGGGCCACCATACAGGCCACGGGGCACCGTATTTGTAGGATTCCTTTTCATACCCCGAGATTTTTTGAGTATCTCCATCTCGGTGGCTTCTTTGATCAAAAATTTACCTCCCTTCGTATCACTCTTAAAATAATTATATTTCATAACTACTCGGGGCTCCGTCCTTATATCTTCAAAAGTTCTGGACATCTTACTATAAGTTTTAGCTCTTTCTTTATGATTATCCCTAATCTTGGAGACTAAAACATGTCTTGTTCTATAAGTCATTCACCTCACCATACTGCAGTCATTCACTTCATCACTGTGGCAATCATTCACGACGTTAATCAAGAAATAACTCGCTTCTTCATTCTTCCAAATCCCTCACCTTAATGAATCAGCCATTTCTGTGCTATTTTTCTAGTTTTTCACCTCATCGTTGTACCAGTCATTAAAACCAGTATTACACTAATCATTTCACAAATAATTTACATCATCACTCAAGCAATCATTCACCTCGTCATTCTGTTAATTATTCATCTCATTCTACCATCATTCCACCACATAATTCTTAGTCATTCACCCCTGCATCTACTCTCCAGCAGTGGATGCGTAAATGAAAACGAGAGTTAATAATAGGTGTGCTTAACGAGTGGAAGAAAAGGCTGGGTAGAGAAAGCGAAAGTGGTTACTAGATTCTGCAGGTGTAGAGAGGGTTGACGAATTAGGTGCTAGCACCTACCTCGTAAAAAGCACACCTCCTGAAAGAACCTAGATACCACTTTCCCTTTCTCTAGTCAGGCTTTCTTCAACTCGTTACACATATGATGTCATAACTTTCGTTTTCGTTTGCGCATTTACTTTCACTTCTCGTGTACTCGTTGACACTATTCACAACTAATCCAAAACTTGCAGTGGGAACTTTAAACGACACTTGGTCCGCACTGGCTCGTTATCAAATCACGATTCTCTTGACAATGGTTTAGGAGAGAGCGAAAAGTCGCGAGTTTGTTGTGAATTAAAGAATGAGGTACTTGTGAAGCATTTGGGAATCTTTATTGAGGATGTTTCGCCAGCCATTTACACCACTTGTTGTGAATTGTTTCGACCGAAGTGTTTTCACATTTACCATCTCCATTTTCACTTTGTTCAGTGCAAATAAAAGGTATAAAATACCAACACGACGGAGAAATAAACACGAACGCAGAAGAGCGACTCTGTTACGCCAACACACTGGGTTTTATCAAGACCACTCTTGACCCAGGTAGATTTCTTTGTGACTTGATAAAGACCACTGTGTGGGCGAAACGTTGTTAATAAAGGATCGCATTACACTGCATTTGTGCTTATTTTTACCATGTTTAATGTAAGCCAACTCTCTAGTTTTAGGTTCCATAATCAAACAGGTCATTCGCTCCTATTTATAAACCTTGGGGCCAGGCAGCTCACCCTTCAGGTTTTTGTCCACTGACAGGTTGTTTTCGTTGGGTACTTCGTCATACCTCCATCAAGTATATAATTTATCATTTCCTTATTGAAAATGGAATAATCTGTCTCCAAAATTCCTTTCTTTGGCAGAATTCAATTACTGGTTTTACATTAGGTCTGTTTCCCGAAGCTTTCCCACTACACATTCTACATTGTCTCTCGTTACATAAAACTCTTCCATACATACATATATATATACAATAAGATCACATTAAACAGGTGATTTTAAAATATGCAAAACAACCACTGTGAAAGAGTAGGGAAATTCCAAGCGCTTTCGTGACTACTCACATTGTCAAGGAACTATGAAAGTAATACATCAAAGGAAGGCAATTAAAGGGCTTAGACTACACCTCACAGTCAACCCCCACAACAAAGAAACACCTGAACATTAAAATGGTATAAAATACCGACAGGTTGTTGAAATGAAACATTGTTTCAGACTATGGAACAACACTCTTCTCCAGACCGAGGGACTGACCACCTCAAAACTTCAAGGGTGATGGACTGATTACATCGTCTTCAAGTATCTTCTGTTTCTCTCAACTTTTCTGTACTCGACTGAAGAAGCCTACTGTGTAGGCGAAACGTTTCGAAATAAAGATACCTAACTGTTGCATGTGTCTTACCTAACAAACACCTGACGCGCGACAATACCGGACTCATAAGAAAAAAGGAACACTGCAGTAGGTCCGCTGGTCCAACTAGACAGGTCCTCACCACATCCCACTAACAAAATATTCTACCCAAGAAATAAGGTTTATTACTTGTCCAATGTATTATTAAACTCTAACCAAATTTTATTAATTATAAATGAGTCTAATTTACATAAACCTAAGGAAATATTTATATATATTATTATATATATATATATATATATATATATATTCATATAATATTCATATATATATATTCATATATATAATATTCATATATATATATTCATATATATTATTCATATATATATATTCATATATATATATTCATATATATATATATCATATATATATATAATATATATATATATATATATATATATAATATATATATATATATATATATATATATATATATTAGAGAGAGAGAGAGAAATATCTCCGAGAATAAGTTTTACTTCGCTGGTTCATTTTTGTCTACGAAACGTCATACAAATATCCGTTAAAATAAGGTGTGCATTAAATACAGGTGTGTGAGCGACCGCTAAAGGTTACTGGTTGGGTCAGGTTAGCGAACATTTAGTTTCCCTGAGTATACTTAAGTAGGGAAAGTGGTTAGTTTGATTTCGATACGATGCTGTAGTTACGTCGGTTACTCTAAGTTACATGGGTACCTTCGTGGTGTTGAATGGCTCTTGATCCAAGGAAATGGAACTGTTCACACACATTCCTAGGTTCATATTTGATTGCTTCACAGTTCTCGGGCGTTCTAATATTCTTACTGGTCATAGTTTCTCCATGTATATAGTGGTAATATCACTGCAAGCAAAAAGAGCAATATACCAGAGCATAGCTGTACCAGCGCTGTTGTATGGGTGTGAAGTATGGGTTATAAATGTTGCAGTGAGGAGGAGGCTGGAGGCAACCGAAATGTTGTATCTAAGGACAATGTGTGGTGTGAATATTGTTCTGAGAATTAGGAGTTTGGAGATTAGGAGAAGGTGTGGAGGTACTAAAAGTATTATTCTTGGGCCTAGGGAGGGTTTTTTCAGGTGTCTTGGACATTTAGAGAAAATGGAAAAAATAAAAAACAGGATGACTAAGAGATTGTATAAATCTGGGTGGAGAGAAGGCGGGGTAGGGGTCGTCCTAAGACAGGCTTGTGTTAGACAGGAGTGGATGTAAGTGATTTTTTTTCTGACTGGACGTGCTGCTGAAGTGTGAGCAAGGTAACCTTTATGAAAAGATTCAGTGAAACCGGTTAGCCGGATTCGAGTTCTGGAAGTATGAAGTACAGTGCCTGAACTCCGAAGGAAGGGTGGCGGTGTTGTGGTTTGGAGGGACATCTGAACTGTTATGTCAGCGCTCTTCTGGCAAAACAGTAATTGAGTGAGTGACATTGAAAGTGCTTTCTTCTTTGTCGGGTCATCCTACCTATAATAATAATAATAATAATAATAACAAAGATGTACCTTGTGAGGATGGGAGCTGTATTTGAGCCATCTTGGGATATAACATCTACGGAGGTTAAAAGTACGTGTTAGCCCTCTCACTTTAAAAGCGATTTCTGTGGTAACCATCAGTATCCCGCATGGAAGCGTGTAACAGTGTGGTTGCACGCTTGCTTCACCCAAGGCAAGGCTGAAACCTCTCTGACAGTGCGAAGTTCGCCTGCTCAAATCCTCAGATCATGTGAGTGAGAAACGGAAGTCTGTTTAATGTTTGTCGATCTGTCAGGGTTTGGCTCCTCTCTACTTTGTCTCGTGCACATGTAGGATGACAAACAAATTTTACATGTCTTTACATTCTGTTTATTCTTAGCTTAACTTTCCCCTCGGAACCATTGACATATAATTCAGTAACTCGTAGATAACATGCATGCCTACGAGATATTAGAGAAATGTTTACGATATTAACAGCTCTACCATAGCGTCATTTCTGGGAGACCCGCCACCAAACCTTTCTGCCTGAGGCAGCTGCCTCAGGAAGTGTATAGCAGCCGACAGGAAATAGGCAAGGGTGAGGAAGAGAAAGGTAGTAGAATCAGCCAGTACACACAAAGAGACGGGATCATATTCCCCCACGAGCCTCAGTCGTCGACCAGCAGCTGCAGCTGAAAGAAGCTTCTCTCTCTCTCCACACCTCCAAAACACCAGACCACACACCTGTCGCCTCCCACATAACACTACCGAGTAAGAGTGGCGGCTCCACCACCACCGCTTCCTGGTACCAGGTACAGGTAGGTTCGCCAGGATATCCTGGCCCGGGTCTTCTCCATGTGGTACCGGGGTCAGGCAGTAAGTACTTTAAAGTTACCATCATTCATGGACATGATGCTAGTGAAGTACTCTTCATTCATTATAGACACTACACTATATGTACTACACTGTAAACACATATATATTCGTTACACCATACAATATATATATTATATATTTATATATATATATATATATATATTATATATATATATATATATATATATATATATATATATATATAATTATTGTACCCAACATGTGGTATTGATCAATACCAACACTGCGACTAGCCAAGGAGTCGAACCTATGCTGCTTTGGTCCTCCTGATGGTGAGCGAAAAATGACGCTTTAGCTCACGGGACCACACAATCCTTAAGAATGGCGCATCCAGCCAAGCTAAATGTTGTACCCGCCATCCAAGGACATACGGTGGTGTGGATGCCTCTAAGCTAATTATGTCCTTGGATGGCGGGTACAAGATCTAGTTTGGCTGGATGCGCCTTAGGACTTAAAGACTATGTGATTCCGTGGACTAAAGCGTCATGAGTATTTGCTCTTCATGATATATATATATATATATATATATATATATATTATATATATATTTTTTTATTTTTTTATTATCACAACCGGCCGATTCCACCAAGGCAGGGTGGCCCGAAAAAGAAAAACTTTCACCATCATTCACTCCATCACTGTCTTGCCAGAAGGGTGCTTTACACTACAGTTTTTAAACTGCAACATTAACACCCCTCCTTCAGAGTGCAGGCACTGTACTTCCCATCTCCAGGACTCAAGTCCGGCCTGCCGGCTTCCTGAATCCTTCATAAATGTTACTTTGCTCACACTCCAACAGCACGTCAAGTATTAAAAACCATTTGTCTCCATTCACTCCTATCAAACACGCTCACGCATGCCTGCTGGAAGTCCAAGCCCCTCGCACACAAAACCTCCTTTACCCCCTCCCTCCAACCCTTCCTAGGCCGACCCCTACCCCGCCTTCCTTCCACTACAGACTGATACACTCTTGAAGTCATTCTGTTTCGCTCCATTCTCTCTACATGTCCGAACCACCTCAACAACCCTTCCTCAGCCCTCTGGACAACAGTTTTGGTAATCCCGCACTCCTCCTAACTTCCAAACTACGAATTCTCTGCATTATATTCACACCACACATTGCCCTCAGACATGACATCTCCACTGCCTCCAGCCTTCTCCTCGCTGCAACATTCATCACCCACGCTTCACACCCATATAAGAGCGTTGGTAAAACTATACTCTCATACATTCCCCTCTTTGCCTCCAAGGACAAAGTTCTTTGTCTCCACAGACTCCTAAGTGCACCACTCACTCTTTTTCCCTCATCAATTCTATGATTCACCTCATCTTTCATAGACCCATCCGCTGACACGTCCCACTCCCAAATATCTGAATACATTCACCTCCTCCATACTCTCTCCCTCCAATCTGATATTCAATCTTTCATCACCTAATCTTTTTGTTATCCTCATAACCTTACTCTTTCCTGTATTCACCTTTAATTTTCTTCTTTTGCACACCCTACCAAATTCATCCACCAATCTCTGCAACTTCTCTTCAGAATCTCCCAAGAGCACAGTGTCATCAGCAAAGAGCAGCTGTGACAACTCCCACTTTGTGTGTGATTCTTTATCTTTTAACTCCACGCCTCTTGCCAAGACCCTCGCATTTACTTCTCTTACAACCCCATCTATAAATATATTAAACAACCACGGTGACATCACACATCCTTGTCTAAGGCCTACTTTTACTGGGAAAAAATTTCCTTCTTTCCTACATACTCTAACTTGAGCCTCACTATCCTCGTAAAAACTCTTCACTGCTTTCAGTAACCTACCTCCTACACCATACACTTGCAACATCTGCCACATTGCCCCCTATCCACCCTGTCATATGCCTTTTCCAAATCCATAAATGCCACAAAGACCTCTTTAGCCTTATCTAAATACTGTTCACTTATATGTTTCACTGTAAACACCTGGTCCACACACCCCCTACCTTTCCTAAAGCCTCCTTGTTCATCTGCTATCCTATTCTCCGTCTTACTCTTAATTCTTTCAATATAACTCTACCATACACTTTACCAGGTACACTCAACAGACTTATCCCCCTATAATTTTTGCACTCTCTTTTATCCCCTTTGCCTTTATACAAAGGAACTATGCATGCTCTCTGCCAATCCCTAGGTACCTTACCCTCTTCCATACATTTATTAAATAATTGCACCAACCACTCCAAAACTATATCCCCACCTGCTTTTAACATTTCTATCTTTATCCCATCAATCCGGCTGCCTTACCCCCTTTCATTTTGCCTACTGCCTCACGAACTTCCCCCACACTCACAACTGGCTCTTCCTCACTCCTACAAGATGTTATTCCTCCTTGCCCTATACACGAAATCACAGCTTCCCTATCTTCATCAACATTTAACAATTCCTCAAAATATTCCTTCCATCTTCCCAATACCTCTAACTCTCCATTTAATAACTCTCCTCTCCTATTTTTAACTGACAAATCCATTTGTTCTCTAGGCTTTCTTAACTTGTTAATCTCACTCCAAACTTTTTCTTATTTTCAACAAAATTTGTTGATAACATCTCACCCACTCTCTCATTTGCTCTCTTTTTACATTGCTTCACCACTCTCTTAACTTCTCTCTTTTTCTCCATATACTCTTCCCTCCTTGCATCACTTCTACTTTGTAAAAACTTCTCATATGCTAACTTTTTCTCCCTTACTACTCTCTTTACATCATCATTCCACCAATCGCTCCTCTTCCCTCCTGCACCCACTTTCCTGTAACCACAAACTTCTGCTGAACACTCTAACACTACATTTTTAAACCTACCCATACCTCTTCGACCCCATTGCCTATGCTCTCATTAGCCCATCTATCCTCCAATAGCTGTTTATATCTTACCCTAACTGCCTCCTCTTTTAGTTTATAAACTTCACCTCTCTCTTCCCTGATGCTTCTATTCTCCTTGTATCCCATCTACCTTTTACTCTCAGTGTAGCTACAACTAGAAAGTGATCTGATATATCTGTGGCCCCTCTATAAACATGTACATCCTGAAGTCTACTCAACAGTCTTTTATCTACCAATACATAATCCAACAAACTACTGTCATTTCGCCCTACATCATATCGTGTATACTTATTTATCCTCTTTTTCTTAAAATATGTATTACCTATAACTAAACCCCTTTCTATACAAAGTTCAATCAAAGGGCTCCCATTATCATTTACACCTGGCACCCCAAACTTACCTACCACACCCTCTCTAAAAGTTTCTCCTACTTTAGCATTCAAGTCCCCTACCACAATTACTCTCTCACTTGGTTCAAAGGCTCCTATACATTCACTTAACATCTCCCAAAATCTCTCTCTCTCCTCTGCATTCCTCTCTTCTCCAGGTGCATACACGCTTATTATGACCCACTTCTCGCATCCAACCTTGACTTTAATCCACATAATTCTTGAATTTACACATTCATATTCTCTTTTCTCCTTCCATAACTGATCATTTAACATTACTGCTACCCCTTCCTTTGCTCTAACTCTCTCAGATACTCCAGATTTAATCCCATTTATTTCCCCCCACTGAAACTCTCCTACCCCCTTCAGCTTTGTTTCGCTTAGGGCCAGGACATCCAACTTCTTTTCATTAATAACATCAGCAATCATCTGTTTCTTGTCATCCGCACTACATCCACGCACATTTAAGCAACCCAGTTTTATAAAGTTTTTCTTCTTCTCTTTTTTAGTAATTGTATACAGGAGAAGGGGTTACTAGCCCATTGCTCCCGGCATTTTAGTCGCCTCATACGACACGCATGGCTTACGGAGGAAAGATTCTTTTCCACTTCCCCATGGACAATAGAAGAAATAAAAAAAGAACAAGAGCTATTTAGAAAAAGGGGAAAAACCTAGATGTATGTATATATATATATGCATGTGCGTGTCTGTGAAGTGTGACCAAAGTGTAAGTAGGAGTAGCAAGATATCCCTGTTATCTTAGCGTGTTTATGAGACAGAAAAAGAAACCAGCAATCCTACCATCATGCAAAACAGTTACAGGTTTTTGTTTCACAGTCATCTGGCAGGACGGTAGTACTTCCCTGGGTGGTTGCTGTCTACCAACCTACTACCTACCTATATATATATATACCTATATATAATATATATATATATATATATATATATATATATATATATATATATATATATATATATATATATAATTATATTATATTAGTGTGCACACTACCCTTAACAACACAAAGCACTTCACTATACACTTCAATATATAACCTCTATTCTATACAGGTATAAAAACAACATAAGTGGGTGTGGGTTGAACCTGTCTAGCATGGGCAAGCTAGCTTACTGCAGTACTATATAAACTGCAATATAAGCAGCACACTAACCATATTCATACTGATTATACACATTGCTCTATATATGTTGCATTGTGTATTCTTCGTAATACACATTACACTTTACGAAAAAAATATACGCTGTACTCTATACAGGCTTTATAAATACACTATACATGTTATGTTATCCCCGTTAGATTACGTACACTACGGAATACACACACACACACACACACACACAACACACACTCACACACTCACACACTCACACACTCACACTCTCACACTCTCACACTCTCACACTCTCACACTCTCACACTCTCACACTCTCACACTCTCACACTCTCACACTCTCACACTCTCACACTCTCACACTCTCACACTCTCACACTCTCACACTCTCTCACTCTCTCACTCTCTCACTCTCTCACTCTCTCACTCTCTCACTCTCTCACTCTCTCACTCTCTCACTCTCTCACTCTCTCACTCTCTCACTCTCTCACTCTCTCACTCTTCACACTCTTCACACTCTTCACACTCTTCACACTCTTCACACTCTTCACACTCTTCACACTCTTCACACTCTTCACACTCTTCACACTCTTCACACTCTTCACACTCTTCACACTCTTCACACTCTTCACACTCTTCACTCTCTCACTCTCTCTCTCTCTCTCCTCTCTCTCTCTCTCTCTCTCTCTCTCTGATGTAACAATTTACAATGAAACGCAACAAATTACTGGTTTGATAATTCAGATTAAATCTAAATTACTCACATTGTTCGTCTCTCCAAAAACTTTCAACAAAGAAGCAACCGTTTTAGGGACAATTGTCTTTGCCTCAATTATTGCCCATATAGAATATGTTCTCTGAGACGGGACCAGAGTAATTTTCCAGAAAATGATTGTTGGGCAACTGATATATACATTTTAGTAAACTGAGCATAAAAGCAGAGGAGAACTGAAGAATATTTACTGACCCAAGTAAGTCGAACTCATTTAAGAACAAAGAGGAAATGTAGTTATGTGTATATTATGCTGAGGACTATTCATCCCACGTAGATGCCTTGTCATGTTACAAAGGGAAGGACGGGTGCATACAGGAGGGCTCCGCTTGTACAGCAGGTTAGGCTCCGGGCTACTGCTGTAAAGTGAAAATCGCTGTAAAGTGAATCGTAGCTTTTTTTTTTTTTTACTTTCAAATGAATATAAGAACCAGATAACATGTTTAAGTGAGTATATACGGTACACACATTACTTACCTTTAAATATTTTGGTCCTTAGCTTATAGTGAATGGTGAGTATATTTCCTGTAGGAAGTCTGAATAAATGAAGAATGTGTATAATTGAAAATGCTGTATAATCGGAACGACATAAAGCGAAGCGTTGAAAAGCTGGGTCCCTTCTTTATACTGTATAGTAGAATCTGAAGTGAAGTGAAGGGAGACATAGAAGAGTCTGATTGTAGTGGTTGCATTATGCCTCAGAAACTCTGGACGAAGCCTGACTTTCCCTCTCTTCCATATCTGTCTGTTTGTAACATAATAAAGCTCTGCGTTAGCGAAATGTTGCAATTAATGTTTCGATGTAATTGCATTCGTTGGATAAGTATTAAGGATATCAATGTTGAGAAACTAAGGAAATGTTAACATGTGCAGCACAAGAGACATGTTAGACTTCTCGTCCACAGGGCGCTCTCTCACTCATTGGGGCGAAATGTTCCCTAATAAAATGTCCTGAGTGTTGCATACTTGACATTATTTCCATAACTACATGAGTATTTATATCTTATCTTTGTAGTATTTTGCATCACTACGTTCTCATGGTCCCTTTCAATCATATCGTTCCACTCATATAACTATCCATCTAATCTCCAAGCTCACCGTAGATTTTTTCCGTTCGTCTTCAGCTCCTTTGTCAATTTAGTGCATTTCTATATCTACATAGATAATGTTGCATTTTCTATTTGATTATTGACAGGTGCTTACTCTAACCTTAATTTTTCCTCTCAGCTGAAGAACTGAAGAGAGCCTGGAGAAGAGCTGATTATTAATATTGTCAGAGAGGACGAAGAATGGAGGACTCTCAGATGAAAAGTAAACCACCAGCTAAGCGAACTGAAGAAGGTAACCAATAAGTTATATATTATATATATATATATATATATATAATATATATATATATATATATATATATATATATATGTCGTGCTGAATATGTAAAACTGGTCAATTAGCAAGAACTCATTTAAAATTAATTCCTTTAACATTTTCTCTTATACGTTTAAAGATATATTTTTTTCATTAATATTAATATAAAAATTTTAATTTTGCACCAAAAGAATCTTAGAAAGCTTACCTAACCTTATTATAACAAGAACAATTTATTTTAGCTTAACCAATCTATATATATTTTAGATTTGTTTACAATAATTTAATACTAAACAAACACAAAGAAATATATTTTTTTCGTTAGGTTCAGAATAAATTTGACGAAATTATTGCATACACAAATTTTCACTTGTCCTATATGGCAAGATGAGCGTTGCTATTTAAGCCAAGATCGCAAGTTCTGCCTATTCGGCACGATATATATATATATAATATATATATATATATATTATATATATTATATATGGGCCCCAAAAGGTAATTAATTACGGGTAAAATAAAAAATTTTTTTTAAAAATATATTTCTCCTTAAAAGGACTGTCTACCAAAAAAACACCCTTCCTATTCCTAATTTCCATAAGAAAGGAATTTCCAATGAAAGTAACAAGACAAAAAGATAAAAAAATTTCAAATTTGCGGGGCTTGGCCTGCTCTTTCTGAAACTATAGGGGGAAATGCTTACTCAGTAATTTCTGTTTTTTTAATCCAATAAAATTTGTCATAGGTCAATATTACTTTTTTGGAATATTTTGTTGTTTTTTTGTCTCCCTTAGGCGCATCTTCATAGTCCTTTCCTCCCTCTTCCTGTCTACAATTCATTTCTCTCCCTCTCCATGATCCCCAACCTCTTCTTAAAGCTATTTAGGAATTGCTTCACTACTTTCGTTTACGTTTTAAATTCCCGCAACTCTAGACTAAAGAAAATATTTTTAAAACCCATACTTTTGGGGTTTTTAGCTTATGGCCCAAATTGCGTATCCCATCTCTGGAAACACGACCTTTGTCCCCCGCCCAATCCCCCAAAGGAAAATTTTTAAGTGTTTTCACGCCCCCTCATCCCCCTACCTTTTAGGCCACAGGTTGATTTTAACCCTTAAAACTGCCTCATTTGTTAACTGGAAAAATTTTTGATTAAAATTCTTACGTTTTGTTAAGTGGGGGTATCTGGTGTATTTCCATATGGGCCTTAAAACCGGTTTAAAAATTTGAATGAAAACAAGAGTTTAAAAAAACTCGTTAATCTCCCCATATGCTGCCTTATTTGAGAGTGTGCCTCAGGGACATGTTCGTTACAATGTTTCCCCCAAGACCTTTTCTTTAATTCTTTTGCGTTTTTGGGTTTTTTTTAAACCTTAAATCCCCGTCTGGGGTTTCTGTTCCTTCCCCAATCTTCATGACCTTACACTTACTGGGTTAAACCCGGAGCCATTTGCGGACCAACTTTTAGTTTGTCCAGACCCCTTGTAATCTAACTGATCCCGCCCACTTGCTTCTCCTCACAGTTTGACATCATCACAACGTGACATTTTCTAATCTATTCCTTTCATCATGCTTTCACGTATACAAAAACAGAAGGGGCCTAGAACTGAACCTTGGGGAACCCCCCACTCGAAAACTTTCCCCCACCCGACACTTCAGCACGTACCAACACTCGTTGTTTTTTCCTGCAGTATTCCCGATCCATTCAGTACTTTTCCCCCTTTTCCTGCCGCTCAATTTTTGCACCATTCTCTGTTGGTACTGTGTCAAAAACCGCCTTCAGTCAAAAAATGCAAACTACCCATCCCTCTCTCTCCCGTCTTTCTTCTGTTACTTTATCGTAGAACTCAATAGATTTTTACACAGGGTTTCCCCTCTTGAAGCCGGGCTACGTCATTTTCGAGCCCAATCTTTTCAATTGGGCACCCCCTCTTCTCCTATAATCTTTTCCGGGCTTTACGTACATACAATCCGTGACACTGCTGTAGTTTTATGCTGCCTGTCGTCCCTTTCTTTAAAAAATTTGGGAAAACATGTGCTGTCTTTTCCTGCCTCAGGCAACTCCCGGTTTTTTTAGATTTACTGAAGATTGCTGCAGCGGGACACATTCGCTGCTCCCTCCTCATATCCATAGATATTTTTTCTGGGGCCCCCCGCCTTTTAGTTATCGAGTTCCCTACAGTTCTTTACCTCATCTTGGTTTTGGTACGTGTCCCGCAACGCGGGGCCCCTACCTCCACGTTTGCTGGAAGCATTCCGACTCATTGTGAATACTTCTCTAAATCTTTTTTTTTAGTTCACACATACTTCTGGGCATCTTCGTCAGCTCCCTCCTTCTTTCCTCATCGATTTCCGGTCCTTTCGTTGTTTTCTCCTAATGACTGTATAACAACTTTGGTTTAGATTTTTGGGTTTTTATGCTATGTCTTCTCGTATTTCCTCTGGGCCCTCTTTTTATCCCTGCCATTCGTTTCTTTCTTCTCTCAGCTCCTTTTTTTTCTTGGTCCTTTCCCTTTTATACCTTTTTCCCGCTCTACCACTTGGCTTTGGCCTCTTTACACCCCCATTTTAAAACCCTGGGCTCTGGGCTTTCCATTTTTTCTTTTCCCTTGGGACGAACCTTTCCCTGCCTCCCTGCACTTAGGCCTATTTCCTCATTTCATTTACTGTCTTTCCATCTAGTTCTCTTTCCCACTGCACTTCATGCAGGAAACTTCTCATTCCTATGTAGTCCCCTTTTTTGAAGTTTGGTTTCTCTTTGTTCTCGTGCTGCTGCATTCTCCACTGTTAACTCTACAAGATATTCAAAACTCAAGACATCATGATCACTAGCGCCAAGGGGTCTTTCGTGGGCGATATCCCCTATGTCTGAACTATTTAAGGTAAATATGAGATCCAGCCTTGCAACATTATCTCTCTTCTCTAGTTGTATCCCTGCATGAAGTTCTCCAATACAGTCTCCAACATCTTAGCCCTCCATGTTTCTGGTCCCCCATGCGGCTCTAGGTTTTTCCCAGTCAATCTCTTTATGATTGAAATCCACCATTATAAGCAGTTTTGTCCTACCCATATGAGCCCTCCTGGCCACTTCAGCTAGTGTATCCACCATTGCCCTATTGCACACATCATACTCTTCTCTTGTTCTCCTGCTGTTAAGTGGTGGATTATACATCATTGCTATCATCACCTTTGGACCCTCAGTCTGAAGTGTTACTACAATGAAGTCATCTGTTTCCCTTCTTTCCATCCTCCCATCTCCTCAAAACTCCACTGTTTTTTATGAGTAATGCTACTCCTTCCCCTCCTCTGTTCTCTCTTTCCTCATAATCTGATATCCAGGTGGAAAAATTGCATCTGTTATCATCCCTGTAAGTTTTGTCTGTTAGTGCTGTGATGTCAGGTGATGCATCAATGATGTGTTCTTGTCACTCTTCACTCTTATTTGTTATTCCATCTGCATTGGTGTACCATACCTTTAGCTTCCTTTCCATTACTGTATTTTGGGAGATGGAAGAGGAAAGTGCAGGCTGGGAGGGTGGGAGGCAGGGCAGAATATTTTGGGAGGCTGCTGTGATTGTGGAATTAGTGCTTAGCGAGGTGGTGGCTATGGAGTGAGGTTTGTTTACTGTGTTTGGTTGATATGTGGTGACAGGGGTTGAGAGGTTTCTATAAGCATTTGTTTGATGTTCCCCCAAAGGCTGAGCTTTCCTGTCTGTCGTTGCCAGTCCTGTCTCTTTCTTTCCACTGGTTTTGTCTTGCTCTCACTTTCAGTTATTCCCTTTCCTTTCGTGTTCTGTCTCGATTGAGGAACACTTTTTGATAATCTGGAGAGTCCTTTAACAGTGGTTTCTGTTGTAGTATGCTGTTCCGTACCACATCTGTCTTGAATGCCAATTTGATTGGTCGATTTTTTCCCTCGACTACTCCCCAAGTCTGTGAATTTTTTTTATCCAAGACATGTCCCTCTCTCCTGTTATTGCAATGATGTTCTTAATCTCTGTTTTCTCCCAATGCTTTCTTTCATCACAGGTCTGCCCTTCAGCCTCCTGAAGCCCATGAATAATTATTAACCTCTCCCTCTCCTCTCTCCATTTCTTTTCCCTCTTTATCTCTGGATCTGATTTAAGCATCTCCTTTGCTATTTCCCTAATCATCTCCCAGATACCATGATGGCCTGATATTGCTGCTGCAAAAGACTGCTTAGTTCCATCCCCTCCTTCAGTCCCCTCACTGCCTGCTGATGTTCCCATTTCAGTCATCTCGCTCCTTTCGGACCTCATCTTTAGATCCTTTTTCAGCACATCCATTTCTTCCTCCAGTCTCTGTATTTTTGCCTCAGCTACTACAGCTCATGATTCCCACTTCTTGCTCTCTGCAGTGTGTGTGTGTGTACTCACCTCACCTAGTTGAGGTTGCGGGGGTCGAGTCCGAGCTCCTGGCCCTCCTGTGTGTGTGTGTGTGTGTGTGTGTGTGTGTGTGTGTGTGTGTGTGTGTGTGTATGCACGTGCATGTGTGTGCATGCATGTGCAGAACAACCACTGTGAAAATAACAGTGAATTCCCAAGCACATTCGTGATTTCTCACCTTATCAATGAACAGTTCCTTGATAATGCAAGACATTACAAAAGTGTTTGGAAGATCACTATTTTTTCTCTGTGCTTGTTTATATTCGCAACAAATGTTCATGAATGTCTTATATTAATGAAAAATAATTCTATACATACAGATGCCCTTAGAGAGCTGAAGTCCAACGGAAAATGGGCAGCTGGGATCACTATCTTCAGTTACATGTACGGAGACCTGACGGTGGCCAGCCAGCTGCCTCCTGACCCTCGGCAGGACTCTTGGCTCCTCATGAAGTCTCCTCTTCCTACACTCTTCATTTCTCTCACCTACATCGCTGCCGTCACTTGGTGGGGACCACTCTATATGAGCAAAAGAAAACCCGTAACTGGACTCAAACCGATAATGATCGCCTACAATGCCTTCCAGGTCGTGTTTTCTGCGTATCTTTTCTATCAGGTGAGAGCTGATCCTCTGTTGAATAATAGTACAATAAGTTATTATGTTTATGAACATAAATATGCAAAAATCCTGCAAAATAAATTTAAAAAGACTTGATTGAAACACTTAAAAATCTGAAAGTACAACAGAGACCTCAACTAGAGCTTAAGAGCTCTGAATCACACGACTCAAGAAATCATAAATAACTCGTTTGCAGACAAACCACAAAACGTCCTGGAGTTTTCAGACTCGCCATAGGTTCTAACCCAGGCATCACGTGGTTTGAATCATATGGGTTACCAATTACATGTTAGTCTGTAGGGGTGTCTGGCTATATATAGTATAGCCAGACACCCCTACAGTTTGTCAGTTGCTCCCCACTGAGGAAAAATTATGTTCATGTTCGCTTTAATGTTTGTCAAATTTTCACTTCAAGATATTAGTTTTATTACTAATTAAGTTAGATATTTTTTAACTTAGAATTTATTATTAAGGACAAGTTTATGGATATCAGAGTTCATTAACAGAAATAAAGGATTTATAGCAAGCTAGATTTGTTCAGAGAGTGGACAAGAACTGGCTCTATATTGGACCTGTTCAATTACTCTAACTGGAGGTCAGCTATTACCAAATCAGTTAGCCAATCAGCACGAAGTATCTATGTATAGCAATAGGTCCATTTATTTATTTAGAAGATTTTGTTTAAATTTTTGACACATGGACCAATAAGATAATGATTTCATAGTTTTTTAAGATAAATCCATAAATTATGTATGTCAAGACACCGGCCGTATCCCACAGAGGCGGGGTGACCCAATTGGAAAAACGAAAGTTTCTCCTTTTACATTTAGTAATATATACAGGAGAAGGGGTTACTAGCCCCTTGCTCCCGGCATTTTAGTCGCCTCTTACGACACGCATGGCTTACGGAGGAAGAATTCTGTTCTACTTCCCCATGGAGGTAAGATGAAATAAACAAGAACAAGAACTAGAAAGAAAATAGAAGAAAACCCAGAGGGGTATGTATATATATATGCTTGTACGTGTATGTGTAGTGTGACCTAAGTGTAAGTAGAAGTAGCAAGACATACCTGAAATCTTGCATGTTTACGAGACAAAAAAAGACACCAGCAATCCTACCTTCATGTAAAACAATTACAGGCTTTCGTTTTACTCACTTGGCAGGACGGTTGTACCTCCCTGGGTGGGTTGCTGTTTACCAACCTACTACCTAGGAAATATAATTTTATAATATATATATATATATATATATATATATATATATAAATATATATATATATATATTACACACACACAAGTAGCATTATTCCAAGAACTTTAGTGATTTCTCACGTTATCAAAGAATAGTAAAAATAATAAATCAGTAGGGTTCTTGTAGAGCAGTAGTCATCTCACTTACACAATCAATGAGGAATTTGTTACCTCACTCAGTGATCGTGGGCCAGTAGGTGTACTGCATTTCATCTCCACTGTTCTCAACTCTTTTTACAGATAAAGAATGAGATGTCAGGTAAAGGTGAATTTGTCAACATAGCTCATAATCCTCACAGATTTTTATGTATTATAAGTCTAGTTTATGCAATCGTAAAATTATATTTAAATTATAATCATTATTATTTTAGTGTTCTATTCTATTGTATATTTTTTCAACTATTAATTTGCAAGTTACAGTTTTCTCAGACTTTCCTTAATCAATGTGGTGATTAAAATTTCTCTCATGAATAAACAGTGAATTAGATTCTTGCTCACTTTCTAGAAACATATATACATGAGTATATATATACTGTGACATTTCTGGCATTGAAGAACTTTTACTTTTCCTTAATAATGTGAGAAATCATGAAAGCACTTTGGATATTGTTGCTTTTCACTGTAATATAGTGCAGATAATATTTGTAGGTATGTATACACAGCACGTGGCATCTTCGTAATTACGAAGATGCCATGTAGGGAGAGACTAGCTCCAAGCAGAGGAAACATCAGCCATGTGGTAGAGGAGCTTATTTCCGACTCAGTTTATAGAGAAATGCAAGATTTCCCCTTATCGAATTAACATTCTGTGAAATGAAGTAAGCTGCAGAACATAGTGTGTATACTGAACCCCGTCCTAGGTTGCTGTGGAGTGTAGCAGAGACCATATATACCACTGTACCCAAACATTATCAGTTAAACAGATATCGTCTTCAGTCGACAGCTCTCACCCATGACGATGACGTGAGACTTCCTCCACCTCAGCAACATCGCTAAGTGCCCTTGTCTTGCTTTCAGTTCATTTTAGTATGCTTCAAAACTGTTCATTCAGATACCTGTAACATAAATATGATGGTTTATTAGACGTACTAACACCCAACACTGGTTTAACACCCAACACTCTGGTTTAACCTCTTGGGCCAATTGTTTTTTTCCTTTTAAGAGGCCATAATTACTTTAAGATATATTTATTTGCACATACAGTAATAGTGGTTCCAGATAATAGAATATAAGTGTCGTTCATCCAGTGAATTTCACAATGTGTCGGGGAAAAAAAATCTTATGAGACATTTTTCATTCAACGAGTATTAAGATATTGCCTCTTGGCATCACCAATGATTAAGATATAGAATCTCAGCCTCACCCGAGTTTAAGGTATAGAATCTCAGCCTCACCTGAGATTAAGGTATAGAATCTCAGCCTCACCTGAGATTAAGATGAAACCTCTCACCCTCAGCTGAGATTAAACTGAAGCCTCTCAGCCTCACCTAAGATTAAGATGAAGCCTCTCAGCCTCACCTAAGATTAAGATGAAGCCTCTCAGCCTCACCTAAGATTAAGATGAAGCCTCTCAGCCTCACCTAAGACTAAGATGAAGCCTCTTAGCCTTACCTAAGACTGACATAATATTGCCTCACTTCATCCCTAAAAACATTCCTTTTGCATAACTGTAAGACATAATTGCAAGGCTGAGACGTCACGATGTCTAAAACATCTCGTGAAAAAATAAAACCCACAAATTACAGAAGTAGCTTTTATTAAACTAATAAGTCTCTACACAGGGCGAAACGTCATCACAATAAAAAGCTTGCTGTGCAGCCTGTCTTCTCGCTGCTGTCGATCGTATGACACTGTTAGCCAACAGCACATTGTGTCTCTCTCATACTTTCATGTCTCCAGGTCTCATAAACGACTTTATTAAGTCATACTTTATAAAACAAAATTAACCTCCTTTAAGTTTTCAAAGTCAGGTTATCTGTACTCTCTTTAAAATTATGTTTTTCAGTTTTTTATAAATCTCGAATATTTATCTTCCAGTTCCTTCCAATACCAAATAAACTGTGATACTGCATAAAAAATTGAAGAGCTATTTAATTTTTTACGCACTTTTTCTATAGCGTTTGAAAATTATAATTGCACTTTATGGAATAGTTCTTTTACGAGAATTTGCTGTATATCATTTACAGTTACGTATAATCTGATTTAATTATACAGCCTCCGGTTTCAAATTTTTTGGCAACCCTGTCTCCCAGATATTCAGTCGAATTACTAAATGCTACGATATACATATTGGTTCGCTATTGTTAGATTATGTACATACTTGTAGCTACTGGGATCGGGTCTTTGTCCCTTGCTTGGTTCTTCCATTCCTTCCTTGCACCGCCTTCCATTTGCTTCCAAATTGTTACTTTCTGTTTCTGGTTTCATAATCCCATTATATCTAGTCTTTAAGCTGTGTTTGGAATACATAGATGTGACTCACTACATATGATGCTCTACGTCCACAGGGTGGTATTGGTGGATGGTTTGGTGGCTACAAGCTGGTGTGTCAAAAGTGTGACTTCTCCTACAATCCAGGGCCTATCAGGGTAAGTCCTAGCTATAACACGCAAGCAGGGCAAACAATCCAGGACCTAGAGTGAATGCTTGGGATGATACACATGCAGGTAAAGAGTAACTTCTCTGAGTCTGTTGACTCTGAGTCTTTGGGATAATATACAAGTAGGATAAATAATCCAGGACCTATCAGAGTGAGGCTTTAGGATAACATACAGCCTGGAGGTAAGCATCCAGGACCTCTAAGGGTGAAGCCTTATTATAACATACAAACTGGAACCAAGCATCCAGGACCTATCAGGATAACACACTAGCAGAGGAAACAATCCAGTTCCTATCTGGTGAACCATTGACAAGTTCTCCAGACGAGTAAAATTTATAAAATCTTTCATAGCTTAGCAGTAACGTCAAAAATATTTCATAATTTAGAAATAACGTCAAAAAATCTTTCATAGTTTAGTATTAACGTTAAAAAATCTTTAATAGTTTAGAAGTAATGTCAAAAATCTTTAATAGTTAGCTAGTAATGTCAAAAAGTCCTTCATAATTTAGAAGTAACATCACAAAAATCCTTCATGGTTTAGAAGTAACGTCAAATCATACGAGATTTCAAACATTTAACAAAGATATAGAAACAGTGCCTTGACCTACGTAAAGCATGTAATGATACCGGGTTTACAGTTTTCTGCACACTGGCTTCACAACAGTTGAAGTCGAACCTAAAACATTGTTTAAAGTTTCCTCTCTGAAGTGTGGGTTACCTGGGAATGGTTCCAGCTAATGAAACACTGGAAAAAATCAATTTAAGGGAAATGTCCATTGATAGTATAAGTGGTAGAGTGCATGGCATTCCCTCTTACTAAACAACACATTGTGGTGATACTAAACAGTTGTGTCGGTGTTTTACCAGAGTATCCTTCAGTGTGGCAGGGAGGGAGAGTAGGCAGTTGCTCCCCTTGTATATCTGGATGGTGTTCCAGGGGGTCGACGGCTCTGCGACCTGGTCCATGACCAGGCTGGATGAGGCTTGTTTCACGGGAAAACAATTATGTTGAAAGCATGCTTCTAGTTTGCCTATTCCACTGTGCCCTTTCAGTGGAAAAGTTTGCCCTCTTCCCCCTCCTCTCCCTTCCTAGTAAGGTTTGCTAACCATCTAGAAAATTTTCCCTTCCTTCTTTCCTTCCCTGGAAACATTTTCCTAACCCCCTGGAAAAATTTGTCTACCCCCTCAAGGAAAAGTTTACCCCTCCCCAAGGAAAAGTATCAGCATAAGCCCATTCACATGATGGACATCTAGTGTATTTTCTTAATAGTTATCCCTCTAATAGCTACCCTGTAGTAATAGCTACTGTCCAAATATCTAACCCCATAATAATTACTCTCCAAATACCTACCTTATAATAGTAACTACTGTTAAAATAGCAACCTTATAATATCTTAGCTAAGAGGATCCAACTTTCCACAGATGATGCATGCTGGTTACTGGTACCTCATCTCCAAGTTTATTGATTTCATCGACACGGTGAGTGAATTCTAATCTCTTTGCAGGTAATTTAGCATACCTCTAGTCATTTGCGATAGGCTAAGGAATCATGTCTCTGTGTTTATACTCTTTATATTTCTATATTTATTCTCTTATTTTTGTTATTTTGGTGCAAATGTTTAATGGAAAAAGGTTCATTGTGATGTGTCTGATACTTCATACTTATGATTAAAATATCTTTCGAAATGTTTACTTAGCAGAAAGGGAACATTGTAATATATCTAAAAACCTTGAATTTATAATGAATATTTACCATTATTTATAACTAGCAAAAAAGAAATAATTAAATAATATTTACACTGCAACAAAAGGGACACTGAGCATATTCATCCTTTAGAGCAGTGGTTCCCAACCTTTTCACCACCAAGGATCCCTTTTGTTTTTTAATTACCCCAGGGATCCCAGTTTATTGAAAGGTCTGCCTACTCAACAGTTTTATTAGCTAACAACAGATTCGTTTTCCCAGTTTCATCTCTCAGATGAAAGACATAATGTAACTGAGTATTCAGTTAAATAAATAACAGTATTGAAAAACTTATTTATTAATGAGATGATTGATGCTGTTTTGTTGACACTACGTTCCGAATTTCAGGTTCCGAATTTCGGGTTTAAGAGTAGACAAACCATAAACCCCATGCGGGATGAACCTGCATCAGAGAGTCCCCCAAAACCCAGACCGACACGTTAGCCCTGGGAAGCTAGCACAGTAAACCTTTTT